ATGTTGGCTCCCCTCTGTTTGGATCACTCTTCCCAGAATGGATACTTCATTCGCAACATTTAGGTCTCAATTCAGATATTCTCCCATTAAGGAGAACTTCCTGACCACCCTAGCTAAAACAGAACTTCCTTCCAGTCACTTACTATCATAATGACCCTATTGTGGCCTGTATGCATGAATATCTAGATCATCTTGTTTACATGCTTATTTTTTGCTCTTTCCTAACACAAGTTCATGAGAAATAGGTACTGTCATGCCCACTGTTGTATTCATAGCCCTTGGAATATTACGTGTACACATAGTAGATGCTCATAAATGATTACCTTGTTGAATGCAGGCTTTCCTGGGCATAGCCATGCACAGTATGCGGTCAACATAGGACCAATATATGACAGTGGTCCCTATAGCTTAGGCGGTACCACCTACATTTGTGTAAGTACACATGTATGTTTGCATAACAACTATTTGCTATGGAGGCATTTCTCAGACTGTATTTTTACCATTAACAAATACATGACTATATTGCTTTTGTTGATTAATTCACAGTTAGACAATATACACAATTTACCAGAATCCCTTTCTATCTTATATCTAGAGCAGACTTCTGGATTTACATCCCATCTCCATCATGATAAGCTATATAACCTTTGGGAAATTACTTAAGTGCTCTGTGTCATGGTTTCTTTGTCAAATGGGGTACATAACAGTCCCTTCCACATAGGATTGGTAAGAATGAACTGAATTAGAACATGTAAAGTGCCTGAAATGCTTGGCACGGTGCCAGGTCTGTAGTAAGTATTTGCTGCGATTAGTAGTAGTGTTACTGAATATTGGCGACATTGCATTAGAAGGCACATTCATTCTGGAGGTTTTCAATAAGAACATAAGAAAAACAATTGGATCTGAAGGGATGATAGTACTTCAGAAATTCCCTGACCTTTGTTAGAACATTAGAAACTATTTATTTCCCCTTTGGATAAATGGCACTTAGAATTAGTCCCACGAAGCAGTTCAAAACATCATCTCTTGCCCACTGAGAAAGAAGATTTAATTCATTAGTGGACTTCCCACTGGGGGGTTTATGAGCAGTTTCAAACCTTGAAGGAGCCTGCAGGACATCAGCGCTCCCCCACTACATTCCACAACGACCAATCTTGATAGTATCCTCAGCCTTCACGCAGACAGACTTCAAGGCAAGAGCAGCTTTGCAAATGCATCAGGAGTTGGAAGAGGAGGCAAAACCCACGATCCTGCCTTCTTTTTCTAAACTATCGAACACCTCTCCCAGTTCTATCTTAAATATATTGTCACTTCCTCCCTACAACACCGTACGGGTAAGATATCACTCTCCTTTACCAAAGAGACTATCAAACTAAGGCTCAGTTTAAGTCTCAAGGTTCCATGGCTAATTGGTGGCAAAGCAGTGGTTATCCATTTAGTCCTTCCACCAATATTTATAGATTGTCCTTTATGTGCCATCATCAAAGATAACAGTGAACTAGTCAGAGTCTTATCTTCCAGTCATTTACCTTCAGTAGGAATTGGAATCCAGGTTTTAGAGTCTATCCTCGAAGGACTCCAAATTTCCCCAGATGACAGCCTATGGGAGATGAGGTGGAGAATGATCACAAATGCATCTGAACAGTGAGTAGCAACCACAGTGGCCATACATATTTATCAAGCACTTCTTAGACATCAATATTTGTAGGCTCTAGTGACATCTAGAACATGCATGCACAGAACTTGCTAAAATGTTGGCCAGCTTAAGGACTTTGTCCACATTCATCCACAGTGAATGTTTGTCTCTTTCAACATTCATGAGCCATTCAGTGAATAGTAACTGCATTCTTGACCATGACAGGTGAGAGCAGATAGTTGTTTAAACTACCAAACGATTATCATGTGTTCTACCAAGTTTAGTGACCCTCACACCTCCTTCTCCTCCCAGTCTCATGTGCAATTCAAACAGAAATGTATCTACTGTGTGGAGATTCTTCATACCGTGAGAATATCTACGGTAGTCTTTCTTCAGGAAAGACAAAATTAGGACTTCACTGAAAGTTTTGAAGTTGAGTCCTTGAGATGATTTAGTTTCAAAAGCACTGCTTGGAGTAAATAAGTTAGAGATGAATTATTTTCCACAAAAATTTTTTGAACTTAAGCCTGAATTATATTGGATTGTTGGAATAGTCATGATGTAGTTTTGCATAGGAAAACACATCAAGACTTTCCCAATGACCCAATACTTTGCATTTTAAAACAATGTAAGACAGTTGGACCAATAATAACTACATCCTTATTTCTTAGAGTAGGTCTAATAGCTACTTGAGAGATGAGAATGAAAGCCTGAGCTTTGATGCAATACACTCAAGGGGAGAGAATTTGGTAGAAGTTAGACAGTACTGACAGTAGTGTGAGTGTGGGTGGGTGGGAGATAATGACAAGGCAGAGAAGACAGACACTAGAAACGGTTGAGTTTGGTTCTCCAGGAGAGCCGTGAGGTTGGCATATGGTTCCTACCAGGATGATGGATGCTCTGGGACCTAGAGTGATCTCTTAGACTTTCCCTGGAAATGAGCCTTGGCAGGGGCCCAGAGAAGTGAATTCAAGGTCCAAGAGTAGTTATGGTCTCCATCTTCAGACTCATCCATGCTGAGAGGAGCCTGCTAGGTATTTTAGAAGAGTGTTCTTGGCCAGCAGATGATGCGGGGGTTGAGGTGTTGATCTTACATGGCTGACTCTGCTGTTCAAGTCCCAGATCCTGCAGCTTCCTATCCAACTGCATCTTGTTTTAGAGAGAGATTTTTGTTATAGGGTGCATGCATTCACTAGAAAGACAGAGACAGAAAGTGAGAAATACCCACCAAGGGGGGTGGCCATACGCAATTCCTTCTCTATTCTCCTCCCAGAGTCTTGGGCATGCATGCATATATGCTTGGAGTGCTTTTCAAGCCACCGGATTTGGGACTCGAACCTCAGTCACCCATTTGGGAATCCAAATGACACCATCTGCTGGTCCCACATTTCCTCCTTCCTCTTGGCAGCATCTGATAACCACTATTATTCTCTCCATTACTATGAAATCAACAGTTTTTAGACTCCATGAAGTGAGACCATGAAGTTATCGTTTTTCTGTGCCTGGCTTATTTGTCTTAACATAATGTCCTTCTATGCTGCTACAAATGATAGGATTTCATCACTTCTTTATGTGTGAGTAGAATTCCACTATGTATTTACATATATCACATTTTCTTTCTTCTTTTTTTTTTTTTTCTTGGTAGAGGCTTTTGCCTTAGGGTGTGTATGTTTGTCTGAGAGAGACAGAGACAGTAAGAGGGAAAGTGAGAAATCACCCCCCGGGGGATGGCTATGTCACAATTCCTTCATTCTCCTCCTGGGATCTGTGCACACATGCACATGCACTCGGTGTGAGTTTTAGCCACTTGGTCTGGGTCTCGAACTCCAGTTGGCCACATGAGAGTCCAATGACATCTGCTGGCCCCATCACATTTCCTATCCATTCACCTGTTGATGGACACTTATGTTGATGCCATATCCTGGCTACTGGGAACAGTGCTGTGATAAAAAAGGAAGTGCAGCTCTCTCTTGGACATACTGACTTCATTTCCTTATATTTATACACAGTTGATATTTGGATATTTGTGATATTAGTATCCAGACTGCCCAATTAAAAAATGAGCAAAAGACTTGAATGAATACTTCTCCAAAGAAGTAAATTAAATGGCAAAATGTGTATTTAAAAAAAGTGCTTGGAACTGGCAGGAGGCATAGTGATTAAGGCTCTGGACTTCCATATGACTGATTGCAGTTCAAGTGTTGAACCTGGCACTTGCTTTCTTGCCTCCCCTCCTCCCACCTGGTCAAATCAAAATATTAATAATAATGACAAATAAATTAAATAAATGATTAAAAATGGTCAATATCACTATCTGGTAATTGCAAACCAAAACCACAATGATATATCACCTCACTCCAGTTAGATGGACTATTATCAAAAAGACAAAAAGTAGCAAATGCTGCCAAGGCAGTGTATAAGATGGAGCTCGCACTCACAAATGTTTGAGCACTAGACCAGACCGGGGGAGCTGGTTTTGTCCTCCTTCCTCTGCAAGGGTTGGACTCTTTGAACAAGAAAATTCTTGGTTAACCTCTCTGCAAACCATCTACAAGAGAAGTTCGATAGTCCCTATGTCTCTGTCTCTTCATGTGCAAGATGGAGATAGCATCTGACTCATGGGAATATTGCAAGGATTAAATAAAATAGTGAGGACAGAGTGTTTAGAACAAAACCCGGCACAGAGTGGCCCCCAGATGTCAGCTGATGTTTGTTGTCTGCTCTCAATTTCCATGAGTCTTTGTTCTCAATTTGACGTCTTCTCCAAAAGTTAATACAAAGTCCTGTGACCCCCTAGGTTGACCAACTAGGAGCTCTGCTTTTTCTTTTAGAGGGGAGCTTGGGATCCTTGGCAATGAGAGCAGTTTTCAATAGAACAGCAAGGGCCATTTATTGAGGGGGCAGTCCTCTGGATTTCTGCTGCTCATGCCATGAAAGTTCGACAATCCGTGGCAAATTCTTTTGACAGATGTGTATCCGTGGCAGTTTTTTAATAAGCACTATCTTAAATTGATTAATCATTAGGTAATCCAGCCTAAATTGAATGGTGCTGCTGTATGCAGACTATTTTTGTTTGTAATTCTTGAGTCATCTCAGTTTAGATGGAGTCTATTTTTCAATCAAATATGCTTAAATGGCCACAATATTCTTCAGGGCATCTTGGTCTTATGAGCTGGTGTCTCTTTAACGTCTGTGGGTTAATCATTTTCAGACAGTGTTTGTGCTGTTTTCTATCATTGCTAATTTGCAGGGTGCTGAGGGAGGCTTATGAGACTGACATGAAAAAACAAATGGGAGCAAAGATTGTGAGGTGATCATTGAGGTTTACCAGACAATGTTGCTTCCTGTTGTTGACCAATAAAAGGAGCAGTGTCAGGAAGAAAGGATGCTCGTGTCAGCTGTTTACCCGGCAGAAGAGTTCCAGGAATGTCCTGCAACCAGCAGATGGTGCAACTTGGTGATGAACAAGCTGGTGACCCAGGTGCTCCTTTGTCTCATAGATCTCTAAGAGATATAACCTGCTTCCATTTATTAACCCCATTCCTTCAAATGCTAATAAGACCAAGTGTAGACCTCTGGCAACTCTTCAGAGACATTGGAGAGTCAATGGCAAGAGTGGCCAAGGCGAGCCAAATAGAATTTCCCTTTGCCTTACAACCCAAAGTCATCTCCTGTCTTGGAGCAGGGAAGATTTGGCTAGGCACTTTGTGGTGGTCAGTGGGGACAGGAAGCAGTTCTTTTTTATCTTCAGTGACTCAAATGAGAATATTAAAAATCGAAGGTCCACGTCTCCACGCACGAGGTAACGCAGGGTTCACACTCCTGGGAGCAATCCTATGAGCTTGTAGGGATATCCACGGCAGCTGTAGAATGGAGCCCAAACTGTACCCCTGCCTCTCTCCTTGCTTCTACTCCTTTTTCTCTTCTCATCTCAAACTTCCTTCAAGTGGCCATCGCTGACTAAAGGGGTTTGCTATTTTGGCTGTAGCCAGAGCTGTATCTCTTACCAACGCCTGGATCTAGCTATGCCTTAGAGGAGGGTTCTGTTTGCCACTGATGGGAGACAAGGGTCCCATCTAATTTGCCAGGTGGAGAGCTTGAAGGACGAGGAAGTTAGATGGGGGAAAGAGAACTTCTGGTTCTGGAGATGCATTCCTGTTCCCGTGTTTTGCAGCCCTCAGGCCACCTTGAGCTGTTTGAGAACTCAGGACCTTGGTCTCTGAGGGATTAGACTCTGCTTTTGAGACATGTGAAAGACCACAGCAAGGATAAGGGTAAGTCTTTTGCTCATGGCTTTGCACTGAAGGGCAGAGCGTTTCCATAGGAAAATATCCTGAATGACAAATTCTATTCTAGTTCATTTTTGCTGATCAGAGCCCTGGCCAATGTATAGCCCCAACATTCAAATGTCCCTAATCTTTTTGTGTTTATCACACAGCACCCATTCTGACTCATTGCTAATATTATAGATTCCTTGCTAAGTGAGCTTTCACTTACCATTTTAATCCATTAATTTGCTGCTTCTGAGTCAGCTATGCCAAGGCGGTAACTGTTCCAGATGCCGAAGCACTGCGAGATTGCCGCTTGAAACATTTATTGAGTAATGACATTTTTTAAAAAAGAGCATCTCAAATACCAGATGCACAAGGTGAAGCTTTTCTGATCATCATTGTCAACTTCCACTAAGATTGTAGCCAGAATGTTAATGGAAGTGTAGGAGGAGGAACTTTTGTTTGCCATAGAAGCCTCTGCTTGAGGGGGAAGGCTAACTTTGAGCCTAAAGATGGACATTTTTGAAGTATCTTTCATTAAGATAGAATTACAGGTGTCTGCTGGGGTTCCTGGCATGTTCAGGTAGACCTGGAGGCACACCTGGAACTTGTCACATGGCTTCCAGTGTCGTGCACCTGTGCCTCCACTGACTGCAACACCACAGTTGGGCCGAAGTGGTGTACTCCCATACTGAAAACACGTCTGGGTTTTGTAAGTACTCTAGAGAGAAGTCAATGCCTTTTCTTCCCCCATTTCATTAGGAAAATTTCAAACACAGAACGAAAGCCTTTCCAACCCAACGCCCTATCACGTGAACTTTTATTTTGCCAAACTGAAACTTCTACTAAATGAACGGCCATCTAGTATTGGCATCAGCTCTCGAGCACAGCCTAACTCTAAGTAGGGAAGCACCACCTCTTCGAAGGACTGTCTCTAAAGGGACATCTATGGCAAACTCACCGTCGTCCTTTTTGGCCGCTTTGCCTCAGATTGGCCGCTGTTGATCGATAGGCCTCCAATTGTGAAGGATTGCTCTAGCGAGAAGGGAGGAGGTGGTGGAGGAGTAAGTTGACCTGAAGGCTGTCATGTTTCTGCTCCACTGAGGCCCACGAGCTTTAAAGCCCTCTTTTATTAAATGGGCTTAATAACAAGATAACCTGAGGTCACGGAACATTGGGTGCAGGACAGAAAAACTGTCAGACCACGATGCCGTTGATCTGCATCCTCATGTCTTCGCGTGCGACATTAACTTGAAACTTTGGAATCCAGGATGACTGCTTTTTATTGTCATAGAACGTGGACTTGATTGTTTATGAAAATATAAAAACATGCATCCAAGCTGGTAACAAACTGTTTTAAAGGTAACCCACAGTCTAACATGCTTTTTTCACGTAAGCTATTGAGAACTAATTTCAAAAATATTTGTTGTATCTTAACAATTGGAGTTTGGGATATTTGGATTATTCACAATGACTGTGATACATTAGGCATTTCTCTGATCTGGTTCTCATTCTCCATCTTCAACAGGAATCAGTACCTTTATTGTTTGTTAAGGACTTTTGGAATCTGCACCGTGGAACCCCCAAATAAGTTTGGTTTTGGAAAAGGTTGATGAAGAACTCAATCTTGGCTATTTATCATGTACTACATAATATTCTTAATCTCAACAGATTTGCGGAAAGACGAAATAACAGAGGAACAAAAATTATTTTCCTGTTATATTGATTCATATTACATCATCTCATTGTCTTATTTTTTAAAACCTTTTTTATTAAAGGAGCAAGAAAATAACATGATTAAACAAACTGAAACTACAAGGTGTGCCCTTTACAAGACGGAAGGAAACAATAAATTCATCAGAAGGCATGTGTTGATTTCCTACAATGAAACTTCATGCAACAACATTCAGTGGAACTGAATATATACAGGTGCCAGAGGCTGGCCAGGAAGGCCTCCAGCATTGTCTTCTGGAAGAATGCTAAGACCTAAATGTCATGGGGCCATCGTGAGGCCTGCATCTAGCAGCAGGATGCTTTTGTTGTTTATTTCTTGTTGTAGAAAAAAAAGTTACGGTTTTGAAACATTTAGACCAAAAAACGAGATTAAGAATTTTTTTCTATGTCCCCAAACTGCACTTACTGCAAAGCCAATAGTTTAAAATGGATCATTATCTGTATAAATGTAAGAATTTTGAAACGTTGCTTTTGTCGAGTTTTTATAGGACGGCCTGTCTTCCAGTTCTGCAACTAAACCTATTAAGATGATTCATGGAGCAAGAAAATACAGCCAGGGTCATAGCCAGGTATTTTCCATCCATAATAGCCTTCCTGGAAAGGAAATCGATGGCATTTTAAAATTTTCTTTGTGAAAGCAAACCTATGATTTTATGAGACTCTGGAGACAGTTTTTGTTTTGATATTGTTTTAAAATAATCATATATTTTTATATGTTTTTAAGTTCCTAAACTCTGTTACTATTTTCATTCACTCATTTGTTCGTCCATCCAATGCTTACTGAATAGCTGTTATTTGCCAAGCGTTCTTTAAAGTACTGGGGATAGAGCAGTGAGCATAGCAGATAGTGAGAGTGCTCAGAGAGGCACTGAAGCAGAAAGTGAATGGGGAACGGGAAGAGATTGTATAAAGGTCTTTGATAGTAAAGGACTATTTGTGCAGAGACTTAATGGAAGGAAAGGAGCAAGCCATGCAGACATGGGGGGAAGAGGTTTTCAGACCAGAGTAACAATGAGAGAAACGCCCCTAAGCCAGGAGTATGCTTTGCTATCTAGAAGGTTATTCTGGGGGGAGCCAGGAGGCCAAGGTGGCTGGAGCAAAGTATGAGGGGAAGAACAGAGGAGGTTAGAGAAGTGAAGGGGCGATGACGGTGGGTGGGCAAAGGTTGGTTAGATGATTACAATGGCCTTATAGGGCACTATAAATATGTTGATGTTCTGAGATGATAAAAAGGTGGCGGACTTGCATCAGAAAAGTGGCGTAACTTGTGTGTTGTGTTTAAAAAGCATCATCTCAGTTAAGAAGTGACTTGAACCCAGCTTAGACTGTGGGTACATTCTGAAGCTATGGGAAACAAAATTTAAAAAAAAGAATGGATTGGATGTGGTATCTGAACAAGAAAAATGAAGGGAAGCAACAAATTTTTTTTCTCCTTTGCTTTAACATTTGCTTATATACTTCTTCCATGAGGGGAGAGTGAGGGACACCCCTGCCCCCAGTCTCAACCAGCGTGGATCATGGGCATTTGCTTGGCATGTACGGGAGACATTGGGATGTGAACTGGCATGGCTTCTGCATCATAGAGCATTGCATTAACCATGCGCTACTATGTTTGGAAAACAAGATTTTCTGGTGTAGGAGAATGGGGCTGCCATCTACTGACACAGGGAGGCTTGTAGTGAGAGCACATTGGTGGATGGGGTGCAAACCAGTGTAGTTGTGGACACGCTAAGTTGAGATGCAATTACACATCCAAACGAAGAAGCCGAGTAGCCAGTTAGACGCATAAATCTAGTGGCAGGAAAGAAGTTGGTGCTAGACATAAAGATGTGGGTGTCAACAGTACAGAGATGGATTTTAAAGCCTGAAGACCAGAAGAGATCACATAGAGGAGATGCCCAGTCCTGGGGCACTCTAGGAACTCAGCAAAGGAGACTGAGAAGCAGTGTGGCCAGGAGGTGAGAGAACATGAGAAGGACGTGCCAGAGCTGAGAAAGTATTTCAAGAAGGAAGTGGTTATTAACTATGGCGAAGATCACGGATAAGTCAGAGACCTGACCATTGCATTTGAGAGCATGGAGGTCATTGGTGGCTTTAGCAAGAGATACCAGAGTGGGGATGAAAGCTAGAGTTGAGATGGTTGAAAAGACCAAGGGAAGAGAGAAACTTGAGGCAAAGGCAGTAAGTATACACATGTCCTCCTGGGGAGATTTTCTGTGAAGGGGAACAGAGAAGTAAGATGGTAATTAGAAAAAGTAGTGGGGCCAAGGGGAGATCTATGAGACAAGACTTATTGCAGCATGAATGTAGTGAAATCTTGCAAGAAAATGGGAAAACCTGGTGGCACAAGCGAGTGAGGGAAAGACGGGATAGGGCCTGCCTAAAGATGGGAAGAACTGGCCACAAGCACTTAAGGAGGTGACAGAGTCAGTGGAAATAGGTTTCTCTGGATGAGAGCATGAAACTAAGACACCAGGATGTTTGTAGAATTGTCTAAGTGGATTTTAGAACCACCAAGAATGAAGAAAGGGAGAGAGTGACAGTGACTCAAGAGCTAAGATACTTGAGCAATGAGGGGTAAGGATTATATACGCTGATGGCAAGAGCTTCAAAAGGGGAGGTGTTTAGGAGGATGGCAGGATCATAGTTTGGAAGTGGCAATGAGGAACCAGCAGGTCTCCTACTACTATTAAAGCTGTATTATTCACAAGTCGACAGAGATAACATACAGTAACATATTCCAGGGCACCACAGTGACTGGAAAAAAACAGCTTAGAACCTACCAAAGCATTTTTACCTACTGCTTGGTGAAACCGTAAAATATACTGCCTACTTACAAGTACTTAAATGTAACTGAAAGTTTCAGATCGCCAAATAGGCCAGGAAGATTTTCTTTTACCTTCACACAGGTAAGACTATATTCATAAAGTTCTAGCAACTTTTTGACAATTTAAAACACTCTTGAAAACTGGAGATTAAAAAAATGTAAACAACTGTAGGCACAACAAAATAATTTTGTTTTCTACTATAAATGTGGCCTCTCTCCACAGCTTTGTTCACATTGTAAGACAGCTAAAGCATACAAAAACATTGCACAACATCCAATTTAAAAATTCATCTAAGCTGTCATCTTTCACTTCCAGCTGCCACCTAAACTTTGAAATTCTGATTCTGGGTAATATCTGAAGTTTCTTAAACTATGATAGGTATTACTATTCCTTAACACACGCCCAGGGGACAGGATGAGGGTAAGGAACAGTTAAAGCATGGGTATTTGCTGTGTACAAATAATGATCCATTACTCGAAATGAAAACTCACCTTTCCATCAGCATTTGCTCCATCTCAAAAATGTAATGCAACTTGCACTTCAAAGAAAAAGAAAGCACTAAAACCAAACCTTATCATGCAAGGTCCAAGATAGTTCAAAGGTATCTACAGAAAGAAGCACCCCCCACCCCAAATCTGGAAACTTTAGAACATTTTTAACTGTATTTTCTAGTTTATTTTTTCCCCAAATGTTTGGGATCATAGATGCAAAGTTCAGGCTTTTGATCTGGAATTAAAATAGCTGAAACCTTATCCAGGAATTTTGTTTAAAAAATGCTTTTATGGGGATTTACATTTTGTTGCATTCTGGTACTTTCTGGAATGGCAAATCTAGAAGAATAAAGTTCCAAGCACAATATTATGATCACATACTGTTTAATGCAATGCAAATTGTTGAATATTCTAGTTGTCTAAGGAAAAATCCCCAAAACAATGATACAGTGTGGAACCCCAAAACAATAGAAAATGTTGGGTAGAAATGTACAAATCATCAGTTTTCAGCCTGCAAATTCTCAAGAGATTTTCTTCTTTGCTGGAGCTCTAGAAAAGAGATGAGTTTGTACCCACTTCATTTAAAGGCCATGAAATGACAACTTATTTCAGAGCTCCTGGAATTGCTACATTGACCAAGGCCAAAGTGGAGTAAACATTTGTTAGAATATCGGCAGATAAATTAAATCAAACGTAGACTTTGGATGTTAGATTTTGTGTTGTAACTATGCAATTTCAGGGGAGCCTGGTGTTTGGTTGGTTTATTATGTTTTGATTTTTAGACTCACTCTGATTTTTGAGGAATGAACTGAAAGGTAACTAACAACGTGTGGAAACTGTGGAGATGGTCAGAATACAACATCATCATCAGAGATGTGGGAACACAGGGAACGTGGTCATTTAGAACCATCATCATCGTATTGTAGATGTCTCTCATGCTTTCCTACCGGAGGTTAAAATTGATTTCTAACTGTATCTTCTCTCTTAAAGGTAACGTGCACAGCTTACATCTTAAAGCAATCAGCATAAATGCAAGGGATACCCGTTCAAGCAGACTTTCAAAGACAGCACACACTATCAACACAGAGCTTGTCCACACTTGAGGAATACAGTGACGGGACTGTTACACATGATAGTAGGGAAA